AAAGAGAGACACAGCGAGAGAGGGAACACAAGCAGGGGGAGTGGGAGAGGGAGAAGCAGGCTCCCTGCAGAGCAGGGAGCCCAATGCGGTACTCGATCCCAGGACCCTGGGATCATGACCTGAGCTGAAGGCAGTCACTTAACCAACTGAGCCACCCAGGCGCCCCCTGCTTCTCCTTCTGACCCTCTCCCCTCTCATGCTGTTTCTCACTCGCTCTCTAATAAATAAGTAAATGAAGTCTTTTTAAAAAAAAAAAACTTAAAGAGAGAACTACCATAGGATCCAGCAATTTCACTTCAGAGTATTTATCCAAAGGAAAGGAAAGCAAGATTCAAAAAGATATCTGCATCCCCATGTTCACTGCAGCATTATTTACAATAGCCAGGATATAGAAACATCCAAGTGTCTACAGATGGATGAAAGGATAAAGAAAATGAGGTGTGTATGTGTGTGTGTGTGTGTGTGTATACTGGAATATTATATTATTCTGCTATGAAAAAGAATGAATCTTGTCATTTGTGACAACATAGATGGACCAGGAGGGTATTATGCTAAGTGAAATAAGTGAGACAGAGAAAGACAAATACTGTAAGATTTTTCTTATATGTGGAATCTAAAAACAACAAAGAAAAGCTCATGGATACAGAGAACAGATTAGGGGTTGCCAGAGGTGGTGGGGGTTGGGATGGGAGAAATGAATGAAAGGGGGTCAAAATGTTAAAAAAAAACAACACACAAGAAAAAAATGCAACATTATAGCAATAGCCAACTGATACAGAGGTAAATGTTAGTTGATTACAATTATATTGTTGAAAAATGTAAGCTGAAACGTGTGTGGCATTATTTCTTCTAATATATTAGCAGGGAAAAAAATGGAGGGAAAAAACTACTCTTGGGGCACCTGAGTGGCCCAGTCAGTTGAGCGTATGACTCTTGACTTCCGCTAGGGTCAGGATCTTAAGTGGGATCAAGACCGGCATTGGGCTCTGCACTGAGTGGGGAGTCTGCTTGGGATTCTCTCTCTCCCTCTGCCCCTCCCCCGCTCATTCTCTCTGTCTCTCTCAAATAAATAAATAAAGTCTTTAAAAAAAACAACAAACAAGGGGAGGGGGGGGTGGGGGGATGGGTTAGCCCGGTGATGGGTATTAAGGAGGGCAGGTACTGCATGAAGCACTGGGTATTTTACAAAAACAATGGATCATGGATCACTACATCAAAAGCTAATGATGTATGGTGACTAACATAACATCATAAAATAAAATTAAATTAAAAAAACTACTCTTGATATATTGTCATAGTAGATACTTGGATCTCCATATTTCTGGACTCTTTATTCTATTCCATTGTCTGCGTGTGTTTATTTTTGTGTCATTACTATTTTATTCTTTAAAGTCTTGCACTCACATCCGTAGCAGGGATTTTCCACCAGTGGACCTTTCTCTGCAGATCTCCCGACGGTGGCTGCATTGTTTGGACTGACCCTAACTCTTCTCCTTCCTGCCACACTCCCTTCTTCTCTGCTCTTTCCAAACACACATGTCATAATTGGGTTAATAAATATATCTGGGGGCCTTCTATGGAATAAGTAGTGGGTATTTGTAAGTATTGCCTGCTTAGCACCCTTCCTCTTTCTTCAAACAACACCCTAACGTTGCTTTAGGGAACCACCTGCACTGTCCCCCGTTCTGGGTAGTCAGTTTCCATTGTAGTCTGTTTCTGTTTCTGCAGGCACCTAGAATTTTCTGGGTCTGAGAGGGAAGCTAACCCCATCTCAGGTCCAGGATTGGATGCTGACTGATCGACACCAGTCAACACTTTTTATTACGGGATCGTGGTCATGGTTCAGGGATTAGCATGTGACCCAAGTGACCCCATGAATGGTGAATGGGAATTTTAGGATTCTTGTCCAGAATGCTGGGCAGAAACTCCTTTTCTCCCCAAAGCCCACCTTGCTGCTGCTGCTGGTGCTCCGGAAGGGAGCAGCCTGAGAACGAGTCTAGCTTTGTAGAAGGTCTGGGAAGAACCCAAGACCTTGATGGTGTTGTTCAGCCTCTCAACGCCTATTTCGCACTTTCCTTATAGGGACCGGTAGGTCTCTTCCTTAATGCATTGACTCAAGAGTTTAGTTATTCGCTGTCAAAAGCATACTAACTGACACACATCTACAGATCTAGAGGGTTCTTAGCCATAGAGTGTGAGTGAATGATGCGAAACTGCTGAGAGTCAATCACTTGATCTACAAAAATACCATTTTCATATGATTCAGCCAAATGTAAATCCAAGAAGTCCTTAGGGGTTTCTCCATCACTTCGTAATGCCTTTGGCTGCAAGTTACAGAAAACTCAGTCAGCAGTGGCATGAACAATAGGGATCTGTTTTCTCTTAGCAAGAAGTCACCAGGTAGGCCGCTGTTTTGTTAGAGATGTGGATTGGCCTTGCTGTGATTCTCTTGACATGTCCCTTAGGATTGCAAGATGGCCGCAAACGGTCTCTGCCCCCTTTATCAGGATGAGCAGAAACCTTTCTAGAAGTACCCAATAGATTTCTCATCAGCCAAAAATGTGTCCCATGACTACTGCAAAGGAGACTGGCAAAGTGTCTTAGGGTCAGCCTAACTCCGCTTCCCAAGATCAGGGAGCCCATCACAAGTGCAGCGCCTTCACCAACGTACTTGGCATGGAGAGACCAGCTGATGAAAAGCTTTGTAAAAATTCTATCACCTGCCGAGTACTTTATTCCTCATGACCTAGTGAAGGGAGATTTTTCTGGAATCTGTCAGGGGACACAGTGCATGGGTGGGATATGCCCTGATAGATCCAATACAGTGTCCCTGTCCCCCACAGTCTTTAAATTCCCACTTGCCCATTATGCCAGAAGATATTTGGCCTTTCAAGAATATTTGATGGGCTAGCATAGGATGGGGATTTGCATTATTCATAAACAACAAAACAAAACAAAAGCTATCTGTTCTATTGGCTATGCAACCATCAGCTGCCTGTTGAAGTTCATGAACAAAATCTCTGTTGTTTACCCCAGTGACTCTCGAGGTATCATGAGGCGGGAATTGTCATTGTTCTTGCTACGGCTGAATTTTCCCAAGACTAGGAAGGGTTAGAATTGCTTTGTGATCTGAAGGGCAGGGCAGGATGGTTAGGATATTATAATGTTCGGGAGGAACAGATGTTAGTCCCTTTAATTTCTGATCATGGGATATCCCCCAAAGAAGTTTCAAGACATGAATTCTCATCATCAGCCAGTAAGCCTCTTTCAGAAATGAGGAGGGTCTGGAAGGGGCTGGTTGGGGGGTAGGGAGGCCTGGCCAATACCCCCAAGGATTGGGGTTGGGGAGAGTGGGAAGTGGCTGCCCAGTGGTTACAGGCTTTTCAGAGTGATGAAAATGTTCTGGAATCAGATCGTGGCGATTGATGCACAACTGTGTGAATATACTACAGACCCCTGCATTGTATACATTAAAATGGTTAATGGTAAATTGTATGTTAAGTGTATCTTACCACAAAAATATGATGAAATATTTCAAATATCAAGAATAATTTTTAAAAGCACTTGTGTAACTACTATTCAATTATTTAAATCTTAACAAACTTGGCCCTATTTGCTTCTGATTTTTTTTTTCTTTTTTAGTGAAATAAAAGGCATACAGGTGAAGCTCCAGGGTAAAATTTTAAGAATTAAGTCTATGTGTATAGTTTCTGTACCATTTTCTATTGTCTTTTTAAAAAAAATTCCTCTTGGAGGTAATCAGAGCTGCTAATTCTCTCCTCCACATCATTTAGCTTCCTTTTTCATGCTTTAATTAATTAATTTTATTATTTTAAAAGATTTTATTTATTTATTTGATAGAGAGAGAGCACAAGCAGGGGGAGCGAGAAGCAGGCTCCCCATGAGCAGGGAGCCTGATGCGGGACTCAGTCCCAGGACCCTGGGATCATGACCTGAGCCAAAGGCAGACGCTTCATCGCTTCATCACTTCATCGACTGAGCCACCCAGGCGCCCCTTGTTTATTTTAAAGATTTTATTTTTAAGTGATCTCTACACCCAAGGTGGGGCTGGAACTCACAAACCCGAGATCAAAAGTCACATGCTCCAGTGACTGAGCCAGGCGTCCCTCTTTTCTGTGCTTTTAACATTTCTTGTCCCTCTGTTCTGTGTCTTGGGTAAATTCCTGAGTTCTCTTTTTAAAATAGCGAACTTTCTCTCTCCTGTTGTGCCCAGTTTAGAATGTAAGACAGACTTATTTGGTTACATCTGTCATTCATGTGTAAGATTTCTAATTGGTCGATTGCATATCCATATGCTTTTATTGAATTTTTGTCTTTTTGTCTCATGATTTGATTTTGTTACTTATCTTTTCACGTATCATAATCATACTTACATAAAATTCTTTGTCCGATCATTCCATAGACTTCTTTTCCTTTATGTTCCCATGACTGTCTCTGTTCCAATTATGCTCTCACCATGAAATTTCTTCATCTGTTTTGGGATTTGGGTTTGTAACTTCATCTTGGCTGTTTCTGCCAAAAAATCCAGGCTTTTTCCGAAGACCAGGTTTTCTGGATGGACCCTAAATTGGTGTATGAAGGAGCTCAGCTTCAGTGATGGGGAGCGTGGCAAAGGGGGAGTGCATGTCTGGAAGACAGAGGCAAGACTCAGCTTTAGCGGCTTGTTACTGTGTGAAAGTGTAGGCCAGGTATGGACAGATCTTTCCATTTTTTTTTAGAGAAGCTAGAAATCTAGATTTACATGTGAAATTTACTGAGCTGTAAATGTCAGCAAATAATTAGTCACCAAACATGTCTGTAGACTGGATTTGGTCTACAGACTAGAAATATCCCATCCGTAATACCAGGGCTCTTCCAGACCATAAACCGCACTTTGCAAGCATCCTTCTCTCCCCGGGGCCACCAAGCTTACCTGGTCACCCCTCAGGTGGGCTTTTAGGGAACACCAGGCAGCAGAAAGCTCTTGCACTTGGGTGTTACAGGTGCACGTCTGAGCCTACCCCTTGCAATCTGTATTACTTGGCAATCGGTTCAATCTTTCTGAGTATCAGCTCTAAAATGAGCATAGTTCTACAGCCTTAAGGGCTGCTGTCAGGATTAATTGAAATAAGGTCGCCAAAGCACTCAGCACGGGGCCTGGCACACAGCAAGCCCCCCATGTTAGCTATCACCAGGACTAACACATCACCTGGTCCCAGTGGATGAGAGAAGGATCTTCTTTATGAATTAATGCCAGCTAATAAATGTCGAATGCAAGACAGAATTAGAAGAAAAAAGAAAAATCACCATTTTGTATCTCCTAAAAGGTGCTCTGCTTAGGGTGGGGCTGTGATGGGGAGCTGGGCTGCCTGCCGTCCCCATCACATGCCTTCCGCCGAGTCAGGTGGCCGGAGCTCCCGAGCTGCTGTCGCCTTCCTAAGTCATCAGCAATTCCCAATTCGAGCACGCACAGCCTGTGCAAGGAAGGGCGGATTGTCTGCCTCCGTCTTGGCACACGCGACACAGTGACCGCTCCAACAGAAAGCGGGACAGCGGCGGGGGAGCGGAGCAGACGGGGAGGGCGAGGCACAGTGTCCAGCCTGCGCGCGTGCGCGTGGTACTGAGCCCGCCCAAATTCCTCTTCCGCAGCCCAGGCCTGGTACCCTCAAACAGAGGCACTGTTAGGAAAGAGATGTCCAGGAAGAAATTTCCCGCTGGGAAGGGGAAGGACAAGACCGATGGAGTGGCTGGCCTGTTATTTCTTTGTCCCCCCCCCCCCCCCCCCCCAATAATCTGGAAGCAGCAAAAATGCACGCGGCTCCAGGCTTCTAGTGACATTTGAGAAGTCTGGAGAACATTTGTATTTAATTAATTAATCAGTTGCTACGTATAATAATGATCAATTCTTGCTACACCCTTTCCAATAAACAATCTTTATTGCTCCAAATACATTTTCTGAACAAGAACTCGGAGCTGCTCGTGAACGATTTCCTCTAGGATACCTAAAATATCTATGAGATTAAAGGCGTCACTATTGGTTGATCTGACAGAAACATTAAAGATGCAATAGAAAAAAAATAATAATAATAAAAAATAAATAAAGATGCAATAGAAATTCCTAAATTTGAAAAACAAATTCCTAAACTTGCATTTTAGGAGAAAATTCATACACTTTGGGAAAAGCGAAACGACAGGGGCACTGAGGTTTGTATTTTTCTAATATAAAGAAACGAATTTTTTTCCCTCTTTGCCCGAAAAATACCAACGCAGATCTAGACATCGAAAATTACAACCTTCCGTGACCCCGACGTGATTTGAACACGCAACCTTCTGATCTGGAGTCAGACGCGCTACCGTTGCGCCACGAGGCCTTCCCGACTCCGCGGCGGCCGGGATCCCGTGAACAGAGCTATCGTCAGCGACGAGGGGCGGAGCTAAATCCTCAGGCCCCTCCCCTGAGGTTCCGCCCGCGTCACTTTCAGAGCTGCGCGTGGACATGTGGGAATGGACCCTCCCTCTGTGGGCAAAATGTGCTTAAGGGCACTTGGCGTAAAGCCCAACTCTTCAACCTTGGGACACACGGAGCTCGCTCAACAGAGGAGCAACTGGTGTGTTTGGGACTTATTTCTGGGGGTGACAAAGCCATCGCGGTGTCGCTGCAGTCCTGATCCCTCCGCCCCCCGACCCCGACCAATAGATGCTTCCCCGGCTCTGCCAGTGACTCAGCGCCTTCACTTCGGTCCTCTGAACCTCGCTTTCTCCTGTGCCGGCTGCGCGCGGTCAAACGCAGTCTCTCGCGGGGCGACCGGGGTCACCTCGTTCACGGATTCGCGTCATTCAGGCCACGTGCCTGCGCATGTATTGAAGTCCCAGCGTCGGAAGCACGCGTTCTAAGCCGGCGTTGGTGGTATAGTGGTGAGCATAGCTGCCTTCCAAGCAGTTGACCCGGGTTCGATTCCCGGCCAACGCAGTGGTTCTCGCTTTTTAAAAAAAAAAACAAAAAACAACCAACTTTTCACTCGCTCCGGGATCGCCCCTCTGCCGGGACCCCGTTGCCGATGCACAACCAGCAGCGAGGGCTGCACGCCCACTGGAGCCCACGAGCGCGCGTCCCGTCGCGGAGAGAGCGCTGCGCCGGCTTCGAGCGGTCCTGTCCGGCTGTGCGCCTGTCATCGCCGGCGAACGCGTCTCATCAGCACATTCGTTGAACGGAGGGGACAAATGGCTCATTCCGCCGCACATTTAAATGCAAGTTGCTTGAGGCGAAACACGAACTCGAACTTTCGGAATGTGAGCCCGAGAGTCAGGACCAACTACCCTTCACCTTCTTCCTTCTTTTTAAGGAAAACCTCCGTCCCACGCCCGGGGCCGGGTACTTCGCTGTGAGTAGGATTTATCACAGGATGATAGAAAAAAGCAAAAGGCACGATGCCTCTCCCCGTCGGGGAATCGAACCCCGGTCTCCCGCGTGACAGGCGGGGATACTCACCACTATACTAACGAGGAAGGAGCTGGAAGAAACGCTCTCCCGCTCGGGGATGTGGCATCTCAGCCGCGCTCGCCGGGGCTTCCGTCCCGCCGACCGCTGGAAAGGGCCCCCCGGAGACCCGCGCACGCTCTGGACCGCCCCTGAGCGACCCGGGGACGCGGCGAAACCCGGCTGTGATAGTCCCGCCCCGTTCCACCCCAGTCCCCCACAGCTCCAGCCGGCCGGCGGGGACCGGCGCAGAGCGCTCAGAAGCGGGGCGGGAACGGGAGGGGCTGGCCCCGCGTCCGCACGTGGCCTGCGCGCCGCGAGCTCCCTCCGGCCACCGGGCTGTGCGCTCGGAACAAAAGAGCTGCCAGCGCCCCAGCTCCAGGCTCTCGGCCAGCTGCACGGGCTTCGCAGGGCGGCCTGCGCGGCGCCGCGCCGTTCCTTCCACCAGCGCCTGGGGCGCTCGGGTCTCCGCCAAAACCGAAGCCGGGCTCGTCCGGGATTTGAACCCGGGACCTCTCGCACCCGAAGCGAGAATCATACCCCTAGACCAACGAGCCGACGTGAAAGCACGCTCGCGGACGCCTTTAGAGGTCGTACTAGGCCTCCTGCGGCCCTAGGGCCACGGCTCCGCGGCGGAACCCGTCTGGCGCGCGCGCGGGGACCACCGGCCCCAACGCCGCGCACTCCCGAGCCGGGTCTGGGAATCTCCGCTCCCGCCCGCGAACTCCGGCTCCTCCCAGGAAATAACGTCGGGGAAGTAGGAGGGAGTGGTCTCGGCCTCCTCCGCACCCCGCGCAGCCCTCCGGGACTACCCCGAGCACCCGGGTTCCCGCTCCCTGTGGTCACTGTCTCGGGGCCACTGCATAACCTGGGGTCCCGACTCCTCCCGCCTGCGCCCGCCGTCCTCGGACCCAGTCCTCTGGCGCAGAGCTTTGAAGATAGGCGGTGGAGTTGCATGGTTGGGGACAATGAATGAGTCCTGAGGTTCCTGGGTGAACACCTGCCCCTCTATCTGTCCCCGCACCTGTCCATCCTCCTGGAGCGACGAGCACGTCCAGTACCCAGGCAAGGGAGTAACTCCCGGGGCCAAGAGGACCCCCGGAGGAGGAGTCATTGAGATGAATGGGGGCGGGGCGGAGTAGGGGACAGACTTTCCAACCTGCGTGGTTGGGGCGAGGTGCCAGGTCTGGCGGCCAGACACCGTCTGATGCTTAACACCCCTACCAGCACTGGTTCCAGGACCTCCGGCCTGTACGATCAGGTTACCCCTACCCTCCCGTCTACCCTCCGCTCTCCACTTACCTCCTGGGATGGCCGGGAAGGAGACCCTCCTCCCTGCCGCCTAAGACCCCCAAAAGGTAAGGGGCTCCGAGGCAAACGCCCGCATGAGTGTGGTCTGAGGCCAGGCCACCGGAGTTTCCCGGGCTCGGTGAGCCTCTAAGCTCTTAATACACTCACCACGCTCTCACTTTGGGGCTGCCCAGAGTCCTGGCAGGACCTGGTGGAGTCAGCGGCCCCGCCACCTGTTCTGCCTTCTCGCTGCTCAGTGCCTGCCCTGGGGAGTTCTCCCAGCAGGGTCTGACCAGCCACGGCCTTCGACCTTCCGGTAGCATCTCTGGGCTGAACCATTTTGTCCCACCTCCCCATCGGGCGATTTGTGGAGCCCGGTCCTTCCTAATACCCAAACCACAGATGCTTTGGTGGGGAGACTTCAATGAAGGGTTCAACACGTTGCCTTTTCTTTCCCAGGTGTCCTTGGCCAGACAGTGGGGGAGGACAGTAGAGAGCAGCCCATCATCCTTTCCTGTCTGTGTCCCAAGCCTTTTCAGGGGGCTGAAGGGCTCAGGGCTGGTCTTCTGGCGTCTCCCTCCTCCTTACTCTTTTGCAACTTCTGTCTCCTCCTCTTGGGCCCCAACTTTCCCCCCAAGTCTCTAGTTACCAACCACTCTCTTACCTGGGCTCAGGCACCTAATCTGCACAGAGGTGGAGCCCTACCTGCCTCACAGAACACGATGAAAGCTGTCCTCCTTTTCCCTAGAGAAACGCATGAGATGTCAGAGTTCAGAGATACCCTGAAGCCCCATCCACTGGCCCCACTTTTAGAATCCAAGAACAAAGGTGTAAACTGATCACTATTTAAGTTTGGTGTATTTTACATTTCAACAAGAGTCAAAGCTTTACACGGCAAGATTGAGTTCTAAGGTATAACTTTGGGTAGTCCCAGTTGTTTGAAAGAGATTGGGTGGGAAAGAGTGAAAAAAATATTCTTGGGGAATTTGAGTTGGTGGCACCCCTTGCTCCCAGCCCTTCCCTAAAGTAGAACCCAGGCATCGTCCTGAATTTCTCCCTCTTTTTCAGACTTCACATCCTATCATTTACTGAGTCCTCCTGTTTTTGTTTTTGTTTTGTTTTTAATCTTAAATATGCCTTGAATTCAATCCCTCCTTTCCATCTCTTCCACAACTGCCCTGGTGCAAGGCTTTGACATTTCCAGAACCACCCACTGTCTCCACACACACACAC